TGCAAGAATAAAAGCTCAGACTAATTTATCTGTGACCTAAACCTACTAGAGTGGTCAAAGCTCACCTAGATTTGAATGGTTAATATATAATTAGTGAAAATGCTGAACTGAATCTACAAAGTGGACCAGATATTGAATTTGAGTTTAGCGAGCCCGGCTGGAGGACAAGAAAAGGAATCAGAATGTAGTTGATCAGGTAAGTTGCATAGACAATTATATGTGAAAGTATTGCGAGTTCTAGTATAAAGACGAGTAAGAGATCATTAACTAACTTGAATAAAAGTAGAATTGGAAGATATTTGATGTGCTTTTTCCAAGTAGAAAAGTTAATACAGTATGATTTCCATATTTGTTTATAGATTTGGTTAGAAATTTTGATAAGGATTTTGATATTTTTAATTTTATAAAGTTATTTAATATAACAAATTATATAAATTTTGAAATTTTTATAATTTTTTAAAAAATTTTGAATTTTTTATTATTTTTTAAAATAAAAGTTAAAATATTAATTTAAATTAATTAATTTTCAAAATTAGTAATTTTTATTACTATATATAGAAATTTTATAAATATTTTTTAAAAATTTTAAAAATTTTTAAAAAATATATAATTTGCTATATTAAATAAAAATGTCATTAATGAAGCAAAACTAATAAAAACAAAGAGGCATGTCATATAAGTGTGAAATAATGCCACCTTTGAATAAGTGCGTATGTGTTATTTCGAAACAAGACAGATTTTTAAAACCAGATATTTTTAAAATAGTGCATGTATGCCCTTGCATAACTATAAGACTTAGTCCTGAAGAAATATTATATACACTGGTAAAATTTAAAAGTTTCAATATGTTGAATAATAGAATTTAAATAGCTTCAACTTGCTATCTAAATTATCACATGACTCCATGGACATGCATGTTCATGAAGTCATGTGATAGCATTGAATAGCAAGTTAAGTGCCATTCAAATACTGCTATTCAATATGCAAGGCTTTCAATTATAAATGAATTAGATTCTTGTTGTTGCCCAAGTTAGTGGTGCAGTTGGATTGCCACACCAATCATACGCGTTAATTCAGAACGCACATAGATGCTAATTTAGAATACTATGTGCTATTTTGAGGACCTGGATTTCAATAATGCCCCTGTGTGATACTTATACTTATACAATAGTATTTATTGATTAAAAAATCAACTTTTAATTTATCAAAAAAATAATTCTTTTTCTGCTGAATTTAAACAAAGAAAAATGAGTTTAATTGGGCTAAATTACTTGTTTTACCTCATAAAACTGTATTTTTATCTTTTGGTCAACTTTTTTACTTAATAACCCAGGCCAATAAATTATAATTGTCTTTATTCAAACAGTATGATTTCTATATTCATGTCAATTGTAAGTAGTGATGTGCTGCGTATAGTATTATATGTACTGTATGTACTATACGCTAAAATTTTAAGTACGTATAAAAATATAATTTTTCAAATAAAAGGATTTATTCAATATTAATTTAAGTAATTGCAATTGTGTTTTATTTGAACAATCCAATTTCTATATTTATGCCAATTGTGAGTAAAAAAAAATCTACATACATACGATTTTTTTTTTGATCAATATATTGCTACAAATAAAAAAGCTTGCTCTATATCAATTTTCTTAGTTCTTAATTTTCTCGACCTTTAATTTTTAAAATGCTTTACCTCTTGGTTCAGGTTAGCAAAGGTGCCAAATCTGTTATACCTGAATGTATAATGAGTATTGAGCCAAAAGACAATAAATTTTTTGACCTTTTTGACACAATTACGTTAGGACAATATGATGATAAAGAGGTGAAAGTTTTTATTAGAAGAGTAACTTCCGAAGGCTGGCGAGAAGTAGATAATGGGTTAAATAGAGACTTGAAAATATTAGAAATATTGGGGTTTATGCAGGTTAAATTTTGCCTCATTACTGTGACAAATTTAGATACACCAGGTTCAACTCAAAATAAACTTGATGCTTTTAGTATTATAATGAGAAATTCGAGAGAGCCTTTGCTTCCTCAACGTTCTACTGAAAATAATAACCACAACCAACTTTATAATGAAATCATTGAGCTTTTTAAAGCTTATAATGTTGGCTGGACTAATGGTTTACATGAATCAATAGAAAAAACATTTATAATTCGTCTTGCAAGTGCTCTTTGGTATATTGACCCGCATCTTTCAACACTAAGTGCACGTTCATACAATTTACCAACTTTTTTTACATAGTTAAAAACGTATCAAGATGGTAAATCGTATAATGAATTTTATTACACTAGCCACTATAAAAAAGAACAATTATCTTAGCAAAAACTTGCTCATATTGCGAGTTCACTTAAAATTTCTATTAGCCAACCATGGGCAAGTAATAATAGATGGAGCCAAGTAATACCTGCAATTCTTTATTTAATTGAAGTTCTAAAAAAATATTCGGATTATTTAATTACAACCAATGCTAGTATGAATGAACTTCATCATAGCAATGAAAGTGCCCGCAGTCCTGAGAATAACAATACTATGTATCATGCTAATGCTTGCGAACCTTGTGAGCTTAAAGATGAATATATTTAATTAGACAATTTAATATTTGAAAAATCAATTTATGAACATGTCAATATTTAACAATATCTTCCAAACGATGCTATAAACCGATATTGATTTATGAAGGATTTGCAGCTTACATTTTCAATTGGTATATATAGGTTAGTATTTATTTAAAATAACAGATTAGTTTTTTTCTAGTTATAGCATACTTTACTACGTATTAGTATAGTTACTAGTATTAGAAATTCGTTTTGAGATTTATATTCTTAGAAGAACAAATTTATTTATTTATATCCCTATTATTTATTAGACATGAATATTTATTTTTATTTTTGTCCCAACTAGAGATGGGAAAAATGTGCATTTTATAATAACATGCGCATAAATGCGCATTTAACATGCACATTAATGCACATGATATCGCATAACATAATTTTTTTGATTTAATATTTTCCCTCTGGAAAATATCGGATATTTGCCAAAAATTTTTTCAGACCTTCTCGTCTTTATGTTCATTCATTTTCTTTTCAGAATTTTTTAAAACTTTTGCATTCCTATTTCTTAATTTTGTCTGGCATAATACATCTTGAACTAAATTAAATATGCTTTAATATTCCTATATAAAATTTAGATGAGATAAAATACGCATGATTCTGAATCATTTGCATGAATGCGCATTAATGCGCATGGTTGAGGAATCATGCGCATACATGAAACCCATCTCTAGTCCCAACTCTTCTCATTTTTATGTTTATTTCTTTCTTTTCGAATAATTTCAAACCTTTGATCAATTTCTAATTTTATTTCTATCTGGCATTATGCTATTATATTTATATTATACTTATATTTTTCAAGTATTATATTCTCAAATTTTTTCATAGAGAACGTTTACAACATATCAACCATTCTCAAATTCAAAGACATGTTCTCATAAGAACATAAAAAAATAAGATTTTTAGCACTAGTAGTGTTAATTTTCTTAGTATTCTTTTTTATAAAATTTAAATATATATGATTTTAAATATTTTTAGTAACTTGTATCTAATTTGTACTATTCAAACTTTTTAGATAATTATTTAGGAACAATCAATTACATTTAAAGAACTCCAAAAAATGAAGAGTCGAATTATAAAACATTAAAAGCATGTATGTTGGCTAGAATTCATGAAGAATTACCTCGTTATTTTATACAGAAAATGCAAAAAAATGTACTTAATAAGGTAAGATAATTAGTGATATACTATTTATATGATACCTGAAAAATTTTAGCATATAGTATGTATTGTATATACTGTATAGTTCTTTTCTAGCATCTAATTGGCTAGAACAAGTTATCGGCAAAAATTTTACCATACAGTACATATTATACTGTACTATACGTAACACATAACACATCACTAAAGATAATACAGCTTATATTTAAATATTAGTAAACATATTAAAAGAAGAATGCCGTCACTTCACTATAAGAACACCGTCACTTCACTATAAGAACACCATCACTTTACCACAAGAACGCCATTACTTTACCACAAGAATGCTGTCACTCACTGAAAGAATGCCATCACTTCACTGCAAGAACGCCGTCACTTCACTGCAAGAATGTCGTCATTTTACCACAAGAGTGGCATCACTTCACCGCAAGTATACCATCACTTCGCCACAAGAATAACATCGAAATACCGAAAAACACCGTGCAAGAAAACACCAAGAAATGTATTAGTGTCAGTTGTAATAACAACAAAAAAAAGAAAAAAACATACTGAAAAAAAAAATACTTATCTTTATGTAGATTTGTGCAATCGCCAATAATAATTCACTATTCCCAAGAACAAATGTACTTCTGTAAGGTAGGTGGAAAATCTTCACTCCACAATTTGTCTAATCCACTTGGAGTCTTCTAAAATTTCTTGTGAGACAAAGTATCAAAGAAAAAATTAAATAAATAAAAAAATTAAATAAATACAGTACAAAAAAAAAACAATAACAGATAAATATAAAAAATAAAAATAAAAACAAAATAAATACTGTACAAAAAAAAAATAAAAAAATATAAGAAAAAAAAAAATTCAACGAAAAATAATTTAGATCAGATCTTAATAAAAAAAGATCAAAAATAAACTAGATCTAGTACGTTACATAATACAAGATCACAGGAAAGCTAAAAAATTAGCCAGAAAAAATTTTGGCTGGTAATTTTTTCGGCATAATATATTCAATAAAAATTCAGTGGCTAATATAAATAAAAAATATGATATTTTCAAACCA